TTTCATGAGTCTTCCCTTGACACCCATGCATGTAATCTCGTCCAGGATCGCAATCCCTTGTGCATTGTCAAAAGCTCCTTTGATGTCAACAAATACAGAGTACCTAGCCGTGTCATTAGCCAAGTAATTAACTATACAGTTTGCTATGCTCCGTCCTTTAACAAATCCATTGACCCCCATCCCCTAGCCTGCCTATTTTGTGCAACAATCGGTTTAGGATAATCCTTTTAAGCATCTTGCAAGTGCATGACGTGAGACTGATAGGTCTGTAATTGCCAGGGTCATTCGGCTTCGGTATGGGAACAATTATTGTGTTTCCATTGTGTGGGCAACACTCCACTTAGGAATGATTTGTTAAACTTAGCAATGACTTGTTAAACAGGTGGAGTAATGGATTCCCAGACACTTCACAAAGTGCATTGAGTATGTCGTAGGTGACGCCATCTTCACCAGGTGCTGTACTTTTACCTTTTTTCATAGCCCCCCTTACTTCCTGGGCTGTGATTGGTTTCCCAAACTCGTCATCACTAGACAGTGCTCTTGTTATCCTGATTCTTCTGTCATCATGTCGCAGGAGCTGTTCCCTGCTTACTTCTGCAGGGAGGGAGGAGGAGGATGCTGCATCACTCCACTTGTGAATTAGTTCCTCAGCGTTACCCTGGGGGTCTTTGTGAGCCGCTGGCCGGGTTCTGCCCCCTTAGCTATCTGAATTTTTGCCCATACTTGTCTTGCAGATGTTTTTCTTCCAATAGTGCCAGAAAAGTCAAGCCATTGTCTTTCCCGCTCTTTAATCTTCTCTCTTCCCCGGCTACTTGACTCACAGTTTTAAACAAATCTTGGTTACTTTCAGTGGGATGTCTCCGGTACTCTCTACTCATGTCTCTTACATTTGAGTTAAGCATCTTTATGTAATCGTTCTGTAATCTTTATGTAATCATGGTACTGTGAACACAGGCTATGGTTGGTACTGTGAACACAGGCTATGGTTGGTACTGTGAACACAAGCTATGGTTGGTACTGTGAACACAGGCTATGGTTGGTACTGTGAACACAGGCTTTGGTTGGTACTGTGAACACAGGCTATGGTTGGTACTGTGAACACAGGCTATGGTTGGTACTGTGAACACAAGCTATGGTTGGTACTGTGAACACAGGCTATGGTTGGTACTGTGAACACAAGCTATGGTTGGCGTGTCCTGTTCAGTTCTCGGACTTTTTACAAACACATGAAGTTTTTTTTTCGGTTGCCTCTTCGTCCTTACACTAACTTTATTTTCCTGTTTTCCAAGACCAACCAGTTTTTGTTCTCGTGTCAATGTGCACGATTCCCCCTTGGTAAGATTGCATATAATTTTGTCGTGAGGTTTACAACATGTTGCAAATCTATAAGATCTTGTAAAAAAAATGGTGTATTTTGGTTTATGCAATAGTGCCAATAAGATTGTTTTTTACTTTTGTGCTTTTTTCGTATGGAATCATATTCTGTTGAGTTTGTTAGCTACTGTTTTGTGGAGGTTAATGAGAACCTAATTCAGCCTTCACACACATACAATACTACGAGAGGGAGAGGATGTGTGTGTTTGTGTACTCACATAGTTATACACACCTAGATGTCCTTGTAGTGTTGAACGTCAGCTCTTAGACTCTGCCTTATGAACCATTAGTAGTTGAAATGCAGTAACTCTGGTCACTAGTTTTTCATATATTTACTTATAGCGTTTGTATTAAGTTAATTTCAACCACTCCTTGAGCTTACTATTTATATTCATTTACAACGCTTATATTGAATAAACCTTTTCTGATATTTGTTTCACTTGTGTGTTTATATTTTCATCTGTGTTCCATAGTTCAACTGTTTCTCACTCCGAACATCGTTTCCCTGCGTTGACAATGCCCATTAAAATCTTTCATGTCGTTACCATGTCCTGACGTTTCCTTCTTTCCTCTATTGTGGTGAGGTCTAATTCTTCCCCCAGTCTTTCCTCGTAGCTCAGTCACTTCTGTTCAGGTACAGGTGTTGTTGCTATGGAATGGAATAGACAAATTTGTTGCACAACTCAATGCACAATTTTTAATGTAAATATGATAATAAAAAATGTATTGATTTAAAATACAAATAGTTTGAAAATCATGGGTTGTGAGGAGGGGGGGTTATGGCAGTAGCTCTCTCTGGTCACTACAAGCACATCTAGGTGAGTACATAACTACACAAACTAAATCTTGTGTATCTTTGACAAGATCTGACAAAAGATCTTGTCAAAAATAACATTAGAAAAATACAATTTAGAAAAAAATACGTACAAATCAGCTCAAGAGAAGGGAAGGGAACTGTCAAGGGGGAAAGCGCCAAGCCATTAGACTATATAACACTGGGATCAGGATAAGGATTTGGGATGGGACGGGGGAAAAAAGGAATGGTGCCCAACCACTTCGCCGGTCGGGAATTGAACGCAGACCTGCAACACGCTAAGTAACCGTGTAATTTATATAATTAATTCCTTTTTAGAAAGAACCGACTGGAGGATCATCTCCGCTTGTTGAACTGGTTGGGCAGAGGCTGCCGACACGTCCAGCACTGTCTCGCCGCTCCCATACTGGGAGGGAAGTCCGTCATTTTTCTGAGGCTCCTCATTAAGTAGTCACCTGCAATAAAACACAACGGAGTTTTTGTCATGTAATTGAGGTAAAGAATGGAGGCAAGTGGCGGGGAGGAGTGATGGTGGTAAGATAATGTTGGCCTCGTGCTGAGAGCTGCGGGTAACATGTCTGCCACATTTACCAACGGTATGTACATACCTCTTCTGATTGCAAATTGCATCCATGGTAACATTAATATATATATATATATATATATATATATATATATATATATATATATTATATATATATATATATATATATATATATATATATATATATATATATATATATATATATATATATATATATATATATATATATATATATATATATATATATATATATATATATATATATATTAAATATGACCGAAAAAGTAAGATTAATAATTCTAACACGAATTTTCTCAATCTTTCGTACATTACGCTTCACTGTTGGAGGTAAATAAAAAATCACTTCTCCAAAATTCATTTTTATTTCTAGTCTGACGCGACACGGGCGCGTTTCGTAAAACTTATTACATTTTCAAAGACTTCACAATTACACAACTGATTAGAACTTACGTATCTCTGCTATTATATCTACATTTGAGTGAGGTGGGAGGGATGATGTGGCATATCGTGACGTGGCATCAACACAAGACAGAACATGAGGGGATATTAATAGGGTATTAAAAGTATCAACACAAGACAGAACAGAAACAATGGGTATTGAATAGAAGTGTTTGTAGAAAGCCTATTGGTCCATATTTCTTGATGCTTCTATATTGGAGCGGAGTCTTGAGGTGGGTAGAATATAGTTGTGCAATAATTGGCTGTTGATTGCTGGTGTTGACTTCTTGATGTGTAGTGCCTCGCAAACGTCAAGCCGCCTGCTATCGCTGTATCTATCGATGATTTCTGTGTTGTTTACTAGGATTTCTCTGGCGATGGTTTGGTTATGGGAAGAGATTATATGTTCCTTAATGGAGCCCTGTTGCTTATGCATCGTTAAACGCCTGGAAAGAGATGTTGTTGTCTTGCCTATATACTGGTTTTTTTTTTTTTATATATGACTGACGGAGAGTGACTCTTTCACTCTCCGTGTGAAAAAGACCACTACAGAACTATTAAGCTTTTGAAGCAATCATTTCAACGAACTGCTTATACGTAGTATACATATTCTTAATAACAGTTATACAAGTGGTACCCTTCAGTTTCATCTTGCTCTTCTGAGACCCCCACTTGAGTTATGAGGTACAGTTTGGGGACTGTACCGTAGAATAGATGTACATATTCCTGATATTATACATGTACATATTCTTGATATTATACATGTACATATTCTTGATATTATACATGTACATATTCTTGATATTATACATGTACATATATATCACAAAGAGAAATATAACTAAGTTAATCACACGAACTATTAACCACTATGAAGACAGACTAAGAAAACTAATTTACTCACAATAAAGGTGTTGAGTAAGATGGGGACATGACTTAATTGTATAAACGGATGACTGGAGTAGATGAAGGGCAAGATTAATACGGTCCTGAAAATATCAATCCACATTGGGCACGAAACAGTGTATGAAAAGTTGGATGTGTCAAGATATATACATATAAATAGGCAAATACTGATTAAAAAATAGGATTGTTTGTCCACTGAACTTCTTCAAGGTTTCAGTTGCGATTATATGTATGAGTTGGAGGGTTGGATGGCAGCTGCCTAATAATGGTTTAAATTCAGAAATGTTATAAATGTTTGTAAATCTGTAGTTAAGTAAATAATGTTGTTTAATTTTGTGTAAACTGTCGAGCTGCGACTCCCTTATTCTAATGTCCTTAAGTAAATTGTGTGACAGAGAGCAAATAGTGCTAAGTTTGTCAAGTTTTAGACCTAGTATGGATGACATATCTTGATCTTTGTAATTATTTTATTTAAACTGGAAAGTATCTTCCTGGTGAACGGGAAAGGTTGGTGTGTCAGCAGACGTGACACCCTCGTGCATGACAAGTCAGCATGTCAGGTGGAGATGACAGGTGAACCTAACTAGATTTTCACTTCAGTTTTGTAAGCCTTCATTTAGCTTACTCAAAACACCATAGACAATAGTTGCTGTGTTGTATATTGTGAAATAATAGAAATAACTTTATTACCATTAAAATTATTATTTCTGTCGCTTATTCCAAAAGCGACAGAAATAAGTGGTAGACTTTCCAGCAGGGAGGTGAAGGGTGAGCTGGTTAGTGGCGCTGTGGTAGTTATAGAGGTCAGCCACACGTCTTACCCCGTCACCCTACGCCCCCAACCACCGGCCTCATCCACCAACACCCTACGGCCCCAACCACCGGCCTCATCCACGTCACCCTATGCCCTCAACCACCAGCCTCATCCACGTCACCCTAAGCCCTCAACCACCGGCCTCATCCACGTCACCCTACGCCCCCAACCACCAGCCTCATCCACGTCACCCTACGCCCTCAACCACCGGCCTCATCCACGTCACCCTACGCCCCCAACCACCGGCCTCATCCACGTCACCCTACGCCCTCAACTACCGGCCTCATCCACGTCACCCTACGCCCTCAACCACCAGCCTCATCCACGTCACCCTACGCCCCCAACCACCAGCCTCATCCACGTCACCCTACGCCCCCAACCACCGGCCTCATCCACGTCACCCTACGCCCCCAAACACCAGCCTCATCCACGTCCCCAACCACGTGTGAATGTATATACACATGTCATTATATTATACCGATTATACCATTGACATAGTGTTATCATATACTGACACAGTGTTCACTTAGTTGCCTAACCAAATAAAAGCTACAAAGGTTAGTCCCATGGTAGTCAGATATATATATATATAGATGTCGTGGGCCTGGAAGTGGGTCAGGTATTGTAAGTCTCTTGGCCACTTGGAAAGGTCGTTCGGGCAAGAATGGGTCTGGGAGAACCTGTGTCTGTTCTCGCCTGTGTTTATACTTGCTGGTCAAACTCCAGCTCCTGAGACTCACCCTTCAGCCACCGGTCGCCCGTTGTAATGACTCGACTCTCTTGATTATTATACTCTTGAAAGTGGCGTTAGCCTCAACCGTCTCCCGTTTTTGTTTATATTAGTCTTGCTTACTGCTTTTACAACGATGATGGTGTTTCTTATTTCCCAGTGGCTTAGCTGAGATACCTGTGTGTGTACTCACCTAGTTGTACTCACCTAGTTGTGCTTGCAGGATCGAGCATTGACTCTTGGATCCCGCCTTTCCAGCCATCGGTTGTTTACAGCAATGACTCCTGTCCCATTTCTCTATCATACCTAGTTTTAAAAGTATGAATAGTATTTGCTTCCACAACCTGTTCCCCAAGTGCATTCCATTTTTCCACTACTCTCACGCTAAAAGAAAACTTCCTAACATCTCTGTGACTCATCTGAGTTTCCAGTTTCCACCCATGTCCCCTCGTTCTGTTATTATTACGTGTGAACATTTCATCTATTTCCACTTTGTCAATTCCTCTGAGTATTTTATATGTCCCTATCATATCTCCTCTCCCTTCTTTTCTCTCTCTCTCCTGTGTGTGTGTGTTTATCAATTATCAGTCGTTACCTGTCAGTGTGTACGGGGGAGTGAGGTCTAGATCCTTATGTTCCACCTACTATAGCCTCCTTTGGGCCTGCAGGATCGAGCTTTAGCTCTTGGTCCGCGTGTTTCGATGTGTGTTGTATAGGGTTTGTGGGTGTCGTTGGTGGGTTACTTGGGTGTCGTCGGCGCTGATGGGTGTAGGCGCGGGTGGATGGTTATAGGTAGGAGAGTTTTTTATTATTATTATTTTCTACCACAGACGTGGCCACACATTCACAATGCTAACCAGTATATATACATTTTTTCTGTCCTCCATGTTAGGAGAGTGGAAGGCAATATGATTCTTGTTTATCTTCTTATTTTACACCTTGTTTTGTTCGTATCAGCCCTTCTCTCCCATTGGTTAGTGACGAAGGGTTGACAAGCCCTTCAGTAGTTACTGGTAGCTGCAGCAAGTACATTAAGACTTTGATATGAGTAAAGTTTGCGGTATAGGCAAACAATCCACAGTTTATTGTAGGAAACATGTGCAAAATTCTTGAAGGATCCCGACGCAAGCACCCGGGCATAGAGCACTGGGGACGGGGCACACGCCGGCGGAGAAAGGGATATGGGAGTCACATGTGGTGTGGGTGTGAGTGGACACACACCGGGACTGTTGAACAGAGAGGAAGAGTGTTACCGTTGCTGGCTTACTCACGTGTATCTCTACACCCCCGCCTGCTGGCTCAGGCCATCACATCCTTCAATTATGGCTCCCATACTTTCTCGATAGGAATTATAGTAATTAATATTTTCTATTTGGATTATAAGTCGATATAAGTAATATCGACTATTATAATATCGACGATATAAGTGAGTAATTGATCTGTTTCCGGAAAAGGCCAAGTTACCCATTCAATAATGCTTGACCACAAGCATGCACAACTTATAATTCCTGAGAGCAGGAGCAGTGGGAGCAACGGTAGAAAAGAGAAAGGGAAGCAGCTTCGCGGCAGGAGGCCGATAACACGAGCGTAGATAGTGAGAGCAAGTGGAGCGATGAGATGAATTGCTCTCCTGAGTTTTCACGTATTTGGAGAAAACTTTCTTTTATCGATATTAATGATCAGTTTATTGCAAGAGGCCACAGAGATGTGTCACGTCTGTACAGGTGCGAGCCAGGGAGAGCTGCAGGGAGGAAACCGTGTCTTAAGGTTTGAGGAGGGCAGTAAATAGGTACCTGGGAGTTAGACAGCTGCTACGAGCTGCTTCCTGGGGTGTGTGTAACAAAAAGGAGGCCTGGTCGAGGACCGGGCCGCGGGGGACGCTAAGCCCCGAAATCATCTCAAGATAACCTCAAGAGAAGAGAGGGAGCCGAGTGAAGTCACCAGCATTATAGTACATAGCATTATATGTACTCGGATGACCACTGATTACAAGTAAAAAACTATATTTGCGACGGTAGAGAACCTTGCGGAACTCTACAGTAGATGGTGAGAGAGGTAGAGACTGGACCATCTGCACCCCAGATATTTATCTATTGGCAGCATAAAGAACTTGGGAATCGAAAAGATGGGAGTATGAATATAAAAATTTGTCACATCCTTTAGAAAACTTTGGATATAACCAGATCAATGTGAAAATATTAATCTATATCTTTATAGATTATAAATTATAGACTATTATATATTATAGACTAATATAAATCTTGTATGATAGTGTATTAAGAATTGTTTTACCCCTTTGAACTAGAAGCACTGAGAATTTTCAAAGATAAAACAACTGGGGTTCAGTAGTAAGTATATGTCATATATTTACTGGGCGCAATTCCTTAACTGTAGCCTCTGTTTAACGCAACAGTAAAATGTGTACTTGGATGAAAAAACGATTCTTCGCGGCAGGGGATCGTATTCCAGGGACCTGCCCGAAACGCTACGCGTACTAGTGGCTGTACAAGAATGTAACAACTCTTGTATATATCTCAAAAAAAAAAAAATAATAATGGTGAACTGCGGCCAGCATTAAAGACTACGCCACAGCTGAATGTCTTTGGAGAAAGGCCCATCACACAATGGCTTATGGATGGAAGAAGGAAAAGAAAGTGAAACTGTGATGAAAGCTTCATTCCAGCAATAACAATCTCGGGTGACTTGCTGAGCACATAAGGATGTCATGCATTGAGAAACAATAGCCTTCCTGATGAATATCGAGATAAAAATTCATACTAGTCGAGTCAGTAGAGCGAAAGTGCCAAGGCAGCCCAGAAATTTAGAGATTGGAGGAGGGAGGAGTTCCCACTGAGCACAGAAGTGAAGCTATGTTCAGAAGCTTCTTAAGGTTCAGATGCCGTAGGTCTGTGGGTTCCGTTCGTCCGTGGTTTCCGTTCGTCCGTGGTTTCCGTTCGTCCGTGGTTTCTGTTCGTCCGTGGTTTCTGTTCGTCTGTGGGTTCTGTTCGTCCGTGGGTTCTGTTCGTCCGTGGGTTCTGTTCGTCTGTGGGTTCTGTTCGTCCGTGGTTTCTGTTCGTCTGGGGGTTCTGTTCGTCCGTGGGTTCTGTTCGTCCGTGGGTTCTGTTCGTCTGTTGGTTCTGTTCGTCCGTGGGTTCTGTTCGTCCGTGGGTTCTGTTCGTCCGTGGGTTCTGTTCGTCCGTGGGTTCTGTTCGTCTGTGGTTTCTGTTCGTCCGTGGGTTCTGTTCGTCCGAGGGTTCTGTTCGTCCGTGGGTTCTGTTCGTCCGTGGGTTCTGTTCGTCTGTGGGTTCTGTTCGTCCGTGGTTTCTGTTCGTCTGGGGGTTCTGTTCGTCCGTGGGTTCTGTTCGTCCGTGGGTTCTGTTCGTCTGTTGGTTCTGTTCGTCCGTGGGTTCTGTTCGTCCGTGGGTTCTGTTCGTCCGTGGGTTCTGTTCGTCCGTGGGTTCTGTTCGTCTGTGGTTTCTGTTCGTCCGTGGGTTCTGTTCGTCCGAGGGTTCTGTTCGTCTGTGGGTTCTGTTCGTCCGTGGGTTCTGTTCGTCCGTGGGTTCTGTTCGTCCGTGAGTTCTATTCGTCCGTGGGTTCTGCGTCCTCATTTATGTATTTCTTAAAGGTACAGGCGGGTAGAAAGCATTGCGTCCAACTAACATACATCAAATGTAACTTCTTGCACGAAGTAAAAGTTCATTCCTGAGCTGACTCTGGAATACGACCGTCGCTCACCAACTTTGACTAGGATACGACTGTCGTTCTCCAGTGTACGTTCTTGGGGTATATTGCACGCCACGTCGTCTCGGTCGTCCCCAGTCTTCTCCACTCCAAGGGTTTTCCGTTCCCAGTCTTACCTATTCTCGTCATTCTACATGCCTGCTTGTTTCCGATCACGATATTTCTTATTCTGTGTTCACTATCCTGCTCTTTCTCTTCCAGAGTCTTTCCATTCTTTGTTCCCTCCCTTCTCATTTCCTAGTAATTTTTCCATCCACCTTGTCGACGTGTCACCATTCCTCAGTCACCAGGCAGGCGTTCCCGCTGGCACCCGCGCCACGACCGGCGCCACTATCCTTGGTGGACGCACCGCCAGGCACCAACAGCAGCCTGGCTGAGGGTGTCCGGAGACCAGCACCTCCCGCGGGGCTCTGACCTCCGTGTCCACCTCCCTCGCCCTCTCCCACGCCCTTCCACCTCCCAGTACTTGCAAAATTAATTGATTTAAAACTAGGAAAACAGGCTTTCCATATCCTGTTAATATTATGTTTATAAGTGCCTCTGATGTCAGGGTAGATATGCAACACTTCTCATTCTAGTTTTTAATTTGCCTCCCCCTACTTTATGGTTAAAATTCAAACTGGTCTCCTATCTGCTTTATTTTCATTATATTACCCTAGTTGGGGGTTGATCTCAGAGACATGTTGTTCTGCCTACTCCAGGAGGTTTGTCAATGACTTCCTCTAACACTTTAAAGTCCTCCTCCATCTGCAAACATTGACATGAGGAGTTCGCTGCCCTGGGAAGGTAATTCCGCAGCTTAGGAACATCAACAGGCCAAGCTAGGACCGAACCCTGCGGGACTCCGCTTTCCACTCGCCCACCAGCCTGAGGCATCTCTCTCAGAAAGAAGCTAATAGTGTCTAGGAGAAGGTATCTAGCCAAATATGGATTTGGCTAGAGAAGGTGTCCTTGGAGAAGGAAGCCAAGAGTGTTTAG